TATTAAGTTCTCCACGAGGCACCCTTAACCTTAGGCAAATAACCGTCGAATGCTTTACTATAATTAAACAAACCAGACCAAACAATAGATATACAAATAAGTAGCTTAAAAAACTGCTATATTTTATGTATACTTATCAACTTGTATTTCAATATATATAATGATTAAAAGAAAGGAAAAGTCGGATCCTAACTGATTGTATATAATGTAATCCCTATGAAGGCCCTAACAATTCTTTCTCACTTAAAGTCGTAACCCAAAAAGGGAACAAATTAAACTTTAGATACGTATACAATACTGAATCTAATACAAAAAATACAAATATAAAAATAAATTATATATGTACGAAATCTAACTAACTATTTATATTGATATTACGTAAATATACGTATGGTAATGGACATTGTATAATAAAGATATTTTATACCTTGTTCTATATTTGGTTCCATTTATATATACCTATACATAGATATATATATTTAAGGATTTCCATTTAAGGATTATAGTAGCAGTTAATATACTACTACTATAAACCAAAAAGTGCATCAATAATGTATTTTTCAGTATTATTTAACTTCATTCTTAAGAATTTTCTGCAGTCTAGTTTGCGTTATTTTATTCATAAGTCTCAAATAAAAACAATTATTGTTTATATGTCATTAGAAAATTAACCAAAAAGCAGCGACCACAATGTAATTGAGAAAACAGTCCTTAGCCGTGAAAAGGTTGAAAGCCATTCGGCAAATACTCAGCTACTTCGCATACATGGAACATAGCATTCGAAATGTAAAACTCAATATTTACTACAAATTCATTCGTGTAACAAATATCTGTCTTTCTACACCTATGGCTTTAAAAAAAGATGTTATTTATCTTACAGTTTATCCTTAAGTAATACATTTTCATTGTACAAAATTGCATTCATCCGAAGAATTCAATTTGTATTTTCCTCTGTATAAAACTGAATGTAGAGAAGTTAGATGTTTAAACGATCCCCCACATTTTCTGAAGACCACGAGCAAGATTATTCCTTCCTTTTCAGCCCCCCTGTGAGAAAAGGGGTTCTAAATTTACGACCTGACCGCATATGAGGGTATTTCGTTTCTCACACTGTGATAAAACAACGGTACAAGAGCCAACGAATTTTGAATAACGTACGTTTCCACCCTAATATGGCTATCTAGAAGACCGAATTTCACTTCGCACTTTTTATATACATATGTACAGAATATGTTACTGGCAATGTATGAAACGCCGGCATTCTGTAGAATACCAAGCCATCTATAACACCTGGCGGTTTTAGGCAAAGCATGAAATATGATAATTATTATATTGTTACGAAATGTCCAGGCGGGTAAGTAAGCTTCCCGGCAAAGCAGGTTTAGGATTGCCATAAAATGGCAAAAAAAAGGCAGAGTTGCTACATTTGGCGAGAAATAGACCATTTGGCGTTAAAATTGGCGATATGCCATGGACGGATGGAGAATTCTTCTTACCGGAATGAATTACCTTCTTACTTCTGGAATGAATTCTTACCGGTTTAACCCAGAATGTTCTCGAACACAAGTTAAAAACTATATAAGCCCTGCTGGTCGTCTAGAGTGCGAGATAGTTAGTCTCGAGTTAGTCAGTCTCGAGTTAGTCTCGATTCGATCGAATTGACAGCCAGGCAGCGAGTGCCGAGTGGGTCGTCAAGTTCATCGAAAGAATCTCTTAGTGTATCGCAGTTAGTACATCGTCGAGAGAGTGCGTTGAGATCCGGAAACGACTGAACTGAAGAGTCGGAAGCTGTGCTCTTTGTGTCGTTGAGTGCATTGCGAGTTGTACAATGGAGAGTCTCGAGAGTACTTGGAATTCCGAGAACGACCGAGCAGAGTCGGAAGCTCTACTATGGTTCTTTGCTGTAAAGCTGTCTCCACCGTTATAGCCTGATTAGCCTGATAACCTGGAAGCTGTGTCGCTGATTGTTCCAGCGAATGTATAATAGATCTTCGACGACTGTAAAACGTGACTTTAGAGCTGTCTTGATTAATATTGGCTAAATAAAGTGTGTTTCGATACTTCATCAAGTGTCGTCGTTATTCACTCCAAGTCTACGAACCCCGTACGAACGTGAAGGAAGAAAAAAAACGTAACAATATACTTTGCATAGTCTTTGTACATATAATGTAGGCATTCTATAGAAGGGCAAATGCTTTTTTCTCAAAGTATAGAGAAAACGTCATGACAAAGCTTTTATTTTGTGGGGTTTCACTCTTTTATCTAACAACTAAATGCGGAGGAACCTAGTGAACTGCTAAGCGAATAATCGCTTCAGGAACAGAGACGTAAAACTCGAGAAGGGTTAAGTATTTTTTTACTGCTCAAAATAAGAGTTAATTGATCGCCCATTTCTCAGGGTGTACAGCAAGCCTCCAACTAAAGGGATATAGCCAAAGCTATCAAAACTCTACGTAGTTGGCCCCCTAAATATCGAATAAGCTATCAAGAGTCCGTAACACGGCCGAGCGTAGTAAAAGCTTAGAGAGACGCAGCCAAAAGGCAAACGCGCTCTAGTCAGAAACTCTGAGGCTTCTAGAAACACATTCTAGTAGGAAATTGTAAGCTGAATTTAGGATGGGCAGAAAAGTAGCTATAGCTTAAAATAACTATTAAAAATTTAGGATAAACCTTACAATTTAAAAGATATTATTCAAAAACATAATTTTTATTTTGAAAAATATAATTAAAGGCTGCCATTCAAAAACTTTTATTTAAAAATACGTAAAAACATTAGGGAGATGATCTTGCTGCATCATAATAAATGTCTATTCTCTATCAGGTTGCAAGTGGATATCAATAAAAATCTACCTGACAAAGGGAATTAAATTCAGGAAAAAATTATAGTTTTCACCACAATGCCCTTTTCATTCTTTTTGTTTTTTGCTGACGGAACTCACAAAGGTGGATGTACAGTTCAACATCATTTCGTGTAACATTTACATTGTCATGTCCTACGTGTTTAACAGCCAAATGAGTTTCATGAAGTAAGTGAAATAACTCAGCGTTCGTGACGTAATACCATATAGTACTAACGCTTCTTCAACGGGATAAATGAGTTTAATTGTGTTTCCCACAAACATTACATTGTATCGATGCAACAAGCAGCAGTCCCAAGGTTCCTTCTTAGTAGTCATTTTGGCTTTTTTCTAACATCATTTATTAACTTCTGCCAAGTGGTTTCAGCTAGCCGAAACGAATCGTATCAGATGTATTTCATACTTTGACCGGTTTGTCATTTGACCTTTTATAGAATGCCTAGTCAGTGTGTGAAATATTTAATCTTTTCACACATTGCGGGCCAGTATTTACAAAATTCTATAAATTACCTAGATAAACGGTCCGATTTCATACTCTGCCGGTAACAAATTTAAATTAAATAATCTTTATATGCCACTCTGTAAAGCATAAAATATTTATGAAGGTTATAAGTTATTTCTCCCGCCTTCTTAGCATGCCTTCGTAGTGTAGTGGTCTGCATGCTGGGCGCGTATTCCAGAGGTCCGCGGTTAGATTCCGGGGGAAGGCGTTGTTTATTTTGCATGAGTCCTGCTTCCAAAAATATACTCTATGTCTTTACAAGGGATTTAAGAGAAATACGTTGCCACTGCCTAAATTAAAAGGTTTTCAAACGCGTTATCTTTAGGAAAACGAAAGATATTTAATTTTACTTTCAAATATATTGTTGTTAATTAACAAATAAAGCGATTTAAAACCAACAAACGCAGATGCATTTAAATTTTTATTGATAATTGGCTGGAAGCATGAAACTGCATTAGCTGCACCCATTAAAATCTTATATAATGAAGAGTGTACGTTTTCCTCTTTCTGAGCGTATTATTCATACAATGTTATTCCGATCTTGATATAATTTGCCACACTTCGAAACCAGAGAAAGGTCACTGTCTACATACGATTTAAAAAAAACCTGCCCATTGAGTCCACACTCATAGCGATGGCTGCTGTTGTTGTCGCTAATGCTTATTTGTCTGACCTATAATCAGCCGAAGCCCACGAAATACATCGTGGCAAGAAGCGCAAGTCGTTGGCAACAGCCTTGAGCACCATACAGGTGACAGTGCGATTTAGCTCAGTTCCGCCCCCCCCAATTTTGTTGGAGAAAACCCCATGGGGGAATAGGTCCGAGGCTCTTCTGAGGCATGCTAACAAGGCAGTAGAAATATATTATACTTCTTTATCGCCAGAATCAAATGAGCCTTAGAAAAAACTGAGCAGTGAATTGCACTAGCTATGGGTATTAGGTTTTGAGAAAATAAGTGATGTAATTATTAGTGCATTAAAACAGTAATAAAGTTCATAAATTCATCAAAAATAATCATACTTTTAAAAAAGTGCATATTTGACTGTGTAAACAGAATTAAACAGTACTTTGGAGTTTAAATAAGTAACGAATAATGGTGTAAGTTATTTCAAAATACTTTTCAAGTTTTGCTTCAGAACTATTTACATCGTTAACGTTAGCAATATTATCTATTCCTCAATGTTTCTTTTTACTTGTAATTAGTCGTTAACAATATAGACTTAGTAGACAATTTCTGAACTTTTTTTTTTTTTTTTTTTTTTAGGCCTACCAGCGACCGAGCGGTAAGGTCGCTGAACACTGGTAGTTCGGTCCGAGGTTCGAATCCCGCGAACGGGCTGGCTGCATGGGTGTTTTCGTGGTTTTCCCCATGTGTAACGTGTATAAGAGCCAGTTTCCCTTAGAAAGTCCTCCACGAAAGGCATCCCTCCTTCTTAGGCAGATAGCCCTAGTGTGCTTTGCCATAATTAAATACACCACCAACACCACACCTGAACATATTTTTATTACATAAATCTGCATGCCATTTTCCTTTGTCAAACTGTATTCTTTAGTAAATGATTGCTGCGTTTTTTATTACGCCAATAATTTCTGTGTTGATTCTGTGTTATTAAAAAAAAGTTTTTTGTTTTTTTTCCAGCTCCCGTAGCTCCGGATAAGCATTCGTTCCTTGCAATCAACTCCACCTTCGTCACGCTTCGACTTGATGCTTGGCACAGCGGTGGATGCCCGATATCCTATTTCGAAGTGAAATATAAGTTACCGACGGATAATGAATGGTTTTTGGTGTCGAATAATGTGCTCCCAGAAACTGGAAAGCTCTTACTGTCCGAACTAACGCCGGGAACTTGGTACAATTTAATGATATCCGCGCAGAATGATGCTGGTTCAACAGATGCTGAATACGTCTTCGCTACTTTGACACTTTTTGGAGGTAAAAAATCTTTAAGTACATATACATGCATGAAACCTTTAGTCAATACTGAAATGAACGAAACATATACTCCTTTAGCAGTCGTTGTTATTATGGGTTATTAAAGTTTCTTCACATTACAATTCTAATTCTTTGAATTTGAATTGCAATCTGAAGACCTTTTGAAATATAAATAGCATTGTATAAATGTAACATTGTAAACCTTGATAAATATACTGAAACTACAAAATTAATGTGTAAGGTATATTTAGTCCAAAGGGGCAATTTGACCAGAAGGACTATTAATTTCCTTTTGGCATTTTGCGTTGATTCACTACAAGCGTTGTTTAACCATTCAAATTGTTGCCACCAAATATTATCGCCCTGTATTATAGTTAAATAAATTAAATAATGAAGAATCTGCATAAATACAGGACGCGGCAGCGTTCATAGCGTAAATTCACTTGCGTAGCACAATGACGTACTGCATGAATGCTCGTGCCGCACTCGTGTACTAATGAGCTGCCATTTCGAGTGTGACAGTGATATGGATCGTTGGAGTGCACAGCATTGTGCTTTTTCTGTTGAAAGTTATTTCAAGAATAACTACTCTGTTATTGCTACCCAGCGTCTATTTCGGCAACATTTCAACGTGGGACGTTGTGGAAAAGTTCCAGATGGACGGACCATTGCGACAGACATTTCCAGGTAGAGTAATTTCCCGTTTTGGTGACATTTCCTAGCCGCCTCGCTCACCTGATCTTTCATGTGGAAACTTTTGGGTGCACCTGAAGCAAGATGTTTTCGGAACACGTTGTGCCACCATTCCCGAGTTAAAGGATCGCATCCGAACTGCCGTCGGCAATGTCCCAGGGAATACGTTACGCCGAGTTATGGCAAGCTTCCAACGCTGCCTAGATGAATGTGTTGTGCAGAGGGACCATCATATTCAAAAAGTACTTCACGCAATGGACAATGACTTACACATTAGAAAATGGCATACCTTTAACTATTAATTGACATAAGAGGTAATAAATAAATTACAGTTACTGCCTTAGGGTGTGCTTTTAACATCCTACTATGAACGCTGCCGAACCCTATATACTGTGTATGTTTCTCGCATTATGTTCGAACAACGGTACTGTAAGCCATCAAATTTTGAATAACGTAATCCTTCAGCGAATATGGGCATCTAGAAGCCCAATCTTTGAATTTGTTTTAGTATCAATTTCATATTTTGTAACACTTTAACGAATGTTTGATTAACAAACTCCAGGATTAAAAACCGAGCAACGGCAACGTTGTACAGAAATATACATTTTTATCTCCAGCGCACGAGACAGTGTACTGGAAATTCTAATGATATGCTCATTTAAAAATTATTTTGCGGTATTTCTCTTGAACTGAATTTTATAGTTATTTTAAGTGTGAAGAACAGGATATTTAATAAACAAAGGTACCTCAAAAATGTTAAATAAATGTCCCTTTGGACGTAATTTAAAATCTGAAACATTTCAGATTTTTTTTTTTTTTTTTTTTTTAAATTTTGTAACAATTTTAATTTTAAAGTCACTTTCTTATAAATTCTTGATTCCATGTACCCAAGTGATTTTTGACATTTGCAACAATATTTAAACTTAAGCCTGTATGTAGTAGGGGAAATTGAGTACATTGAGAAAATTTTGGAAACAGAGTTTAAGGGAACAGTGATCACGGTATTCACGTAAAGGAAGTTGATCCTTCAGAGTAAGAATGCCATTCGTGGGACCTGGGAATATTAAATTGATTAACAGCTGCTGAATGCACCAGGTAAATTCTGCCTTGCTAATGCGATTTGCAGAATAAATGTTTAGCGATTCAACGCTAATGTTTGAACATAGTACATTCAAAAATTTACAGAGATTTGTAGAATTTGTTGGCCTTTACTCGTGTTTCTAAAATAGCCCTTAATGTAAAAGGAACTCATCTTTATTTAGAAACTATAAGCTTACATGCATTAGGTATAAGAATAGTAGATAAAGTTTGTAATTGTAGACAAATTTTGCAGTCAACAATTACAAGCTTTGTTCTAGTATTTATTATTTAGTATTATTCCCCCCTCTAGTTGGGGCCCTTTTCCTCCACCCTATTTGGGGAGTTTTTATTCCCACCCTAGTGGCGGCGTTTTTCTCCACCCTAGTTTCGGGAAATTTTCCAAACCCTAATTGGAGCGTTTTCTTTTCACGCTAGTTGGAGCTTTTTTATTCCTACCCTAATTGATATTTTTTATTCCTACCCCAGTTGGGGCATTTCCCCCATTTGGTTGGCAATTTTCTCCCCCTAGTTGGGGCGGGTTTCTCTCGCTAACTGGGGCGTTTTACGCCACCCTGGTTGGGATCTTCTCACCCTAATTGGGGTGTTTTTATTAGCACCCCAGTCGGGCATTTTGCTCCCTCTCTCGTTCGAGCAGGTTTCCCCCCTGATTGGAGCAATTTTTCCCACCCTAATTGGGGCCTTTTTATTCCCACCCTAGTTGAAGCATTAATATTCCCACCTCAGCTGGAGCGTTCTTTTCCTTGTCTAGTTGAAGTAATTTTTCCTACCCTAGTTTTGGCGATTTTATTACCACCCTGGTTGGGTGGTTTTTCCCGCTTTAGCTGTGGTGGATTTATTACCACCGTAGTCGGCGCGTTTTAATTCCCACCATAGTTGGGGCTTTTTTCCTCACTCTAGTTAAAGCAATTTTTTCCCACCCTAATTGGACCGTTTTCCAGCCACCCTAGTTGGGGTGTTTTTATTTCTACCTTAGTTGTGGCATTTTTCTCGATCTAGTAGGGGCAACTTTTACCCAACCTAGTTTTGGGCAGTATTTTTCCATTCTACTAGAGGCGACTTTCACATCCTAGTTGGAGTACTTATTTTCGCATCGTAATTGGTGCTTTTTCGTAACCTAGTTAGGATATTTTTTTCTCATTCCAATCGGAGATTTTTTGCTGCCCTGCTTGAGATGTTTTTTTTTTTTTTTTTCTTTTGCTTTAATTTTTTAGTTGGGCCACATTTTTCCCACCCTAATTGAAAGCGTTTTACTACCCTAGTTGGGGACTTCTTTCCCACAATAGTTTGTGCAGAACGATAGTGAACGAAAGAGTGAGCTCGATTTATTTTAATGCGAGATATATATTCAAAGCTATTTTTGCGCAAGGATCTGCCTGATTGCGTTATAGCAAAGGTTATAAATAGAATTTAATACCTAGATTTTTATAGAATTTTTAAGAACAATACATTGAAGAAGCATTGCGTTTTTGGTGTAGTGTACGGAATAGCCTAATAATTATCCAAGGATTGATTATCGGGAAAAATTTGAAAACACTGACTTTCTTATCACAGACATGTTTGAGCATTCTTAATTATCTGAATTGTGTTGGCTTTGGGCCAAAAAATGCAGCACAAGTTCACATTTTAAGTGGGATTTGACTCTAAAATGAATAATATAAATTAACCTGTTAATATTAAAAAAATTCCTTTTTGTTGAATTCAAATGACGCCATTAGCCTAGCCTTTTATAACTGTTTTATCACTTTAAAAGTTGCCTGCTTAAAAGATAGGTTCCCCACGGAGTCGATACTGATCTCCTGAGAGTTGAGGAAATTTTAAAGGGGTTAATGATGGTCAAGAAGCCGACTGGGAATCGATAGCCGAATATCCTTCAGCAATTGATCAGCATAATCAACGTCCCATTAATTAACACTCCATAGAAATATTAATTATATTAATAATTAATATTATGTTAATAATATTTCAATATTTAATTTTCATTGAATTTAATTTATCACAACAAATCAAGTTTTATTCAAAAATGAATGGATATCTTGAGTATTCGAATTTAAAAGTTATCCGAGAGAATATATGTATCAAAATCAATTGGTATTAAACCAATGTTATAGACTTTTTCTCTTATTACCCACTGGAAGTAAGCTTAGTCAAATCAACGATTAAGTACTCAAATCAAGAAAGAGTTTGAATATTTTTAACAAGGTGAATTAAGAACTAACTTAGGCAATTTTATCCAAATAATAAAAATTGCATCCATGCATCAGGCGCAGCGATTACATTCATTAAAACAGAGTGATCGTGCAATTAGAATGTGTGATTTTAATTTGAAAACTTTTTTATATTTATCTAAGGTAGTAATTGTGCAAAATGTAACATATGAATCTAATAAACCACTCTTTTTTCTAAACTTTTGTTTATAATTTGTCTAGATCTTGTTTTTTGTAAGATCTCGTTTAGTTTATTAACCAGTTATTTTGTTTTAATTTGCATTCCTGTTCCTCTTATTTTCCATTTTCATGCCAGAATGTAAATTTCTAGTTGGCATTATATGAGCTAGTACGGAGGTAGTATTTAAAGGAAGATTTTGGAGGTTAGAATCAAGGAACGTGACCTGCTACGTCATTGCGGCATTCTCGTCATTAGGCTCGTCACGCCGACATTAGAAAGGGTCAAACCCAGTTTGCGCGTTACTCTATTAGTGTGGCCTCTAGGCTAACTTACTTTTATTTAGTTAAGTCAATTTCAGTACCTTTGATTTAAACTATAAATGCTGGCTTCTGTAAGATTTGATAGGTGCCTTTTGTTATTCTTTATTTCAGTTAAACAAAAGGATCCTTTACAACATTTGGTGCCTCTGAGGTACTTTACAAGATAAAATGATAATTCACGTAAAGGCTTAAGACGTTTCGTATATTTTATGCTTCTACGGAATACAAGACGTTATACTTTAAGTTATTTAAGTGCAATTATTTGCCCGTAAGTGATTTGAGTAGTTATGATTATATCGTATCATAATTATATAGAATTCTGTACATTAATGTGGAAATTATGAGAATGTAGATAAACAAACTATTTATTTGAAAGGCTTTAGATAATTATTCGAATTAACCCGAAGTAGAAGTAGACAGAATAGTAATTTTAGATAGAATTTATCACTTAACCACTATATACAAAATTATATGCTACCAATCTTCAATACAGTTATCAAA